CATCTGAGCTGCTGAAGCTTACAGCTCGTTCAGAGGAGTCATGGTGTCCTGGTGGCCTTTCTAGTACCTCCTTCAGAGGAGTCACAGGACTCTTGGTGGCCTCCCTCACTAGTCTCGTTCTTGCACAATCACATGGCAGATGTACACGTGTGCCACACTCCTTCCATTTCTGATTTAAATCTTTAACTGACCTCCAGTGGATAATTATGCAGTGATTCAGTGTTAAAGCAATAAAAGGGGAAAACACTCAAGGGGGAGTGAATGCTCATCTTTGAACAATCTTTTATGATGTGTTTTTTCCATGTTTATTATCTCTAGCCTGTGCCCAAGACCAGAAAGAGATATGAAGCTTCCTCCAACCAGCCTCCTGAAGTCCCCTCTCGGAGCTGTGTTCCTGTAAAGCAGAACCAGGCTTGCATCAGAACCGTCTCTGCGCCCGAGAGCCCCTCGACGCCAACGGCCGCTCAGCAGCCAGTGAGGAACCCGGAAGCGAAGCCGTCGGTCCTGACGAACTTGAAGAAGAAATTCCAGAAGAACAGAAGCTCGTCGCAGGACAACACATACGCAGAGGTTAACGTCGAGGCAGCTGACGGGAGCAGAACTACCGAGTCCGAGTACCAGGAGATCTCAGGGGACCGCGCCGTTATGGGTTCACCGTTTTCCTACACTTGCCCCGATGTGAGACTGACTGACGAAGTGTTCCCTCAAGAATACCTGAAACCTCCACCTTTTGCCCCAGGCTACTGATACAGGAGCATATAAGAAACCTTTGTACATATGGAACGATCACTGGATGTTACATTGCTGAACCAAAGAAAGAGGGATGGTCTGGACATCGAGGTCCGGTTGGGTAGTGCAGCCTGCAGAGGAAAAGGAGAACGATGCACTTTTTCAGCCTTCAGAATCTGCTTTCACATGAATTTTTGACCTTAAAAAGGCCTTGAAAGTTAAAGGGTTGCATCATTAGAGCGATGACTATGTGTGTAGCTTTGGTTCTGATCATTTAAGTCTAGTTCTGGCTAAAACGCCGACTGAAAACAGAATTCAACACCTTGGCTCTGTTCAAAGGAAACAAAATCTTCCTACCAGCTCGTCCAAAGCGCACTAATTAATGCATCGTGTCTTTTTGGTTAACAAATCCAAAAACTGAAGCGTAGGAAAGTTGTGGTGAGCGTAGAAACCTGATGGTCACACTTTAGGGGTGCTTGTCGTCCAGTTTGGTTGGTTTAGGATAGCGCCAGGCGGTTAGCGGTTTAACCCCTTTTCATGATTTGTGCTAAGCTAAGCTAGCTAGCTGCTGGCCATGGCTTCACACAGACATGGGAGTGGTATCTTTATTTACCAAAGAGTCAAACTATTCCTGTAAACTTTTATGTCCACTAATATTCAGTTTGCACAAGCGCGTAACATCATCGAACAGATTAAACCGCTGTCATGTGACTGAAGTTAAGGCCTTTAATGTACTGTATATGTTTTATTTTTATTTGTTTTACTCAAGAGAGACATTACAAAGAAATACTGTTACATTAAAGGAAGTAAAGCCACTAGCGTGTGTCTAGCTGAAGCTAATTTCCTGCAAGCTTCAGGTTTTTAAGTTAAGGGAAAATGTTTTTTTATGCCTCTTTGATAATATAATGAAATGTAAAAAGGAAGGAGGAGGAAGTTTTGTGCAGCACATGTAAATTAGAAATGGTCCCTTATCATGAATGTGAAGCTGGAGGAGAGCGGATGCAGACAGACTGGTTTCACAGGTCCAATGTTCAATTTTTATACAGCTTCAGGGCACATTATTGTGTTTTTACGTTTTGTCATGTAGTGAAGTTTGTGAAGCATGTGATGCCTGCAATAGTTCACATTTATGTCTGTAACTTGATAAGATACGAAGCATGCAGTTTTGTTGAATGACTGAGCTAATAAAGCAGCTAAAAATGTTCAGTTTGTATTATTTTCCAGCGCTGTGGCGGGGTCGTGATCGCCTGGGATTTAATCCGACCGGGAACCTTTATCTCACGATAATCCCCTCTAATCCCGTCTCTTCTGTCTGAATTTATCAGTGTCAGTGTTCAGATCATGTGGAGTTTGAAGTCAAATCAGATCAGAGGCTTCCTTACCAAACTAATGGGAAACACCTGCATCATAATAGACTGCCATCTAGTGGCAGCAAACCACATCAGATCCTTTATGCAACGCCACAGTGTCAAAGTGTTTTCATAATCTCATCATGTGTCCGGTGAGGACAC